TAGAAAGTTGTAACTAGGCTAATATAAGCTGGGGACATTCATACACACAGGAATATATCATATACATTCTGGGAAGACTTAATTATGAGTTAAATGGAAAGAATGTGTGTGTCTCTGTATGTTGGGTGTGTTTCTCCAGTTTCTGAGACACATGGCCTTTCGTTCCTGACGTGGAAGGGAAGTTAAGTTTATAAAGATCTTTTTGAAGCTCACGAAGGAGTTTCTGTTCAGCCTCTGCCAGGACACTTAAGTGACAATGGGGGAAATTTGATCCAGACTCATCGGCGCTAGGCCTGTGATTTACATGAAGTCCAAAAAGGTTCAAAGCTTTCTGAAGTTTAGAACTGAATCGGTCATCGTGACTCAGTCCAGACGCTACACGTTATACTGTATATGGAGACTGGAAAATAGTGTGATAAATGTCACTAGATTCTGTCCTCTTATATCAATGTTGCTGTTATGTTTCTTATTATCAGAATAAGTGTTTTTGTGCACTATATAGTTGATTTATAAATGCTGTATGTTGTCATAAATTAACAGGATTTTTATTTCTCTGTATTTGATCAGGTTTTGGTTATATTATTATGATGAAGAAATGAAGAAGTCTGCAGTGAAACTCCTGCTGAATCTCAGTGTTGCTGCAGGTGAAAATGTCACAGTTACAGGAACAAGATTCTCTACTCTGCTGTCGTCTGTGTGCAGTTACAAAACCTTCCCTTTTAACCAAGAGTGGTATAATGATGTTGAACAGTGTGATTTCCTGCTGGATCTTTACTCACATGTGAAGAACTATGAGACTCAAACAGGCAGGAGTTTCCTTCCAGCATTACAGTCAGTTTTCCAGTCTCCTGATGTCTGGATCATAGATCTCTCACAGAGAAAGACCTCCATCCTCCTGGAAGTGCTGAAACTCCAGACAGAGAAGAAACCAGTAGAGCTGAGAGGATGTTCAGAGGAAGAGAGTGAAATGAAGAGTTTCCTTCAGTGTCTGTCCTACATCTCACAGCTGAGGTAACTGAACTTTTGGATATTCACTTCCTGTACCTACTTCTCGATCAGTATCACTTCACTGTATCTTCTTCTGTTTATGAAAATAAATGTTTTAGATTAATTTAGAAGCTTTTTTTTTTTTTTTCAATGATTAGTGTTTAAAAAAAAATTTATATATATATATATATATATATATATATATATACTGTTTATATATTCCTTTCATCCAACATTTTAAACTGTTTAGAGCAAGGAAAGCTGGAATTTGCTTTAAAGCACAAATATAATTTCTGAGTTTTTGTCTTTGTCGGAGTTCTGTGATCATTTATGTCTGTTTATAGTATTTTTTTCTTTTGGAAACAGGTTTCACTGTAGGAATATCAGTCTTGAAGTGCAGTTTCTTCTGAGACTCTTCACTAAAGCAGCAGAGACTGAGACACAGACAGGAGAGCAGATGCTGAAACTGTTATCATTAGTCTGCACCTACACATCTTTTCCTTATCAAGAGACTGACAGAATTATACAGAGTTATTTCCTGCTGGATCTTTACTCACATGTGAAGAACTATGAGACTCAATCAGGCAGGAGTTTCCTTCCAGCATTACAGTCAGTTTTCCAGTCTCCTGATGTCTGGATCATAGATCTCTCACAGAGAAAGACCTCCGTCCTCCTGGAAGTGCTGAAACTCCAGACAGAGAAGAAACCAGTAGAGCTGAGAGGATGTTCAGAGGAAGAGAGTGAAATGAAGAGTTTCCTTCAGTGTCTGTCCTACATCTCACAGCTGAGGTAACTGAACTTTTGGATATTCACTTACTGTACATTCTTCTCGATCAGTATCACTTCACTGTATCTTGATCTGTTTATGGAAAGATATGTTTTATTATAATTTATAATCTTTTTTTTACAATTTTAGAGTTTAAATTAGGGCTGTGCAAAAGTTAATTGCGATTAATCGCATCCAAAATAAAAGTCTGTGTTTACATAATATATTTGTGTGTGCTGTATATAATTATTTTGTATATATAAATACCTATGCATGCATGTATATATTTAAGAATTATTTGCGCTTAAATTCTGTATACATTTATAAATACATAATCTATATTATATAAATATAAATATTTTATATATGAATAACACATTTTCTTAAATATATACATGCATGTGTGTGTATTTATATATACAAAATAATTATATACAGCACACACAAATATATTATGTAAACACAGACTTTTATTTTGGATGCGATTAATCGCAATTAACTTTTGCACAGCCCTAGTTTAAATATATATATATATATATATATATATATTCCTTTCATCCAACATTTTAAACTGTTTAGAGCAAGGAAAGCTGGAATTTGCTTTAAAGCACAAATAGAATTTCTGAGTTTTTGTCTTTGTCGGAGTTCTGTGATCATTTATGTCTGTTCATAGTATTTTTTTTTTCTTTTGGAAACAGGTTTGACTATATGAATATCAGTCTTGAAGTGCAGTTTCTTCTGAGACTCTTGACTAAAGCAGCAGAGACTGAGACACAGACAGGAGAGCAGATGCTGAAACTGTTATCATCAGTCTGCACCTACACATCTTTTCCTTATCAAGAGACTGACATAATTAAACAGAGTGATTTCCTGCTGGATCTTTACTCACATGTGAAGAACTATGAGACTCAAACAGGCAGGAGTTTCCTTCCAGCATTACAGTCAGTTTTCCAGTCTCCTGATGTCTGGATCATAGATCTCTCACAGAGAAAGACCTCCGTCCTCCTGGAAGTGCTGAAACTCCAGACAAAGAAGAAACCAGTAGAGCTGAGAGGATGTTCAGAGGAAGAGAGTGAAATGAAGAGTTTCCGTCAGTGTCTGTCCTACATCTCACAGCTGAGGTAACTGAACTTACATGCTTTTGATTGTTGATTTAACCCTCAGAGACCCAGGCAATGATATTCATGATGTTATTTATTTTTTCATCATTTAACATGTTGTAGGAAGGTATTGATGAGAACATTTTAATTTCTTTACATATTTGTGTGGATTGGGATGTAATTTGGAAATGCTTTGCTAATTTACTATGTTCATGTTCAATAAAGCAAGTGAAAGATTTGAATTCACAATTCAATGCACACATCTATATGTAAAATACTATATTACAATTTAGTAAGGAAAAATTCAGTCCTTCATTTTTTTTAAACCAAGAACTATTTAACAAAAACTACAATAAAAATAGAAAAAATCAAGTTGAAGAAAATAAAAGGTTAAGAATTGGTCTATGACTGTTGAACCACATTTTTTTTCCCACTGTCAAAATAATAGAAATGCTCTCCTCTGAATATAACTGTAGACTATGTAATGTAGTATTTTAACAGAAATCATTGAGATATTAATAACAACTTCAAATCATTTTCATCTCTTTTAGAGTTTATTATTGATAAATTGAAGAATAGAGTCCATTGTTTTGCTGACCTTAGAAAGATAGTCTCAAATGTAAGTTGATCATTTCAGGGCACATAATGTTGATCAAAAATGAATTACGTTATAAGAATTAAGTAAAGTTCATTATAAAGTTCACTGCTAGAACTTGCTGATCCTGCAGATTTGAAGAAGTCATAATTTAGACACTGAAAACATTTACTGACGCTCCAGAAGGAAACACAATGCAGGGGGTGTAAATATTTACACAGGATGACTGGGGGAAATTGTTCTCATGTTGTCATCTGGAAATATGTAAGTGCAAAGAAAAAGTTTAAAATAAAATAAGGATGATCCAATCCTCATTTTCAAAGGTTTACACCCACCGGCTCTTGATGTGTTGTGTTGTCTTGAGCGTCAGTAATGTTTGCAGCTTTTGATCATTCAGATTCATTACAAAACATATGAACTGGATCTTTTGTGTAAATTGACTTCTTATTATGTCTTGTGGTCTATATCTGAACAAACATCAGGTGACTTGAACTGTACATATATTTAAAGTTCCTCTCAAGTTACTGTTCATGCAATAAACAATACTAAGTAGTTCATTAAGTATTAAAAAGTGCATTTTATCTAGTATTTAAGACAATGTCATTAGAAATCAATGTGAATCATTCTGAATTTGCAAAAAAAAGAAAAGAAAAACAAAACAATGAATCACATAATGTCTTTTCAAGCAATGCCAGAAAAGAAAATCACTATAATACGAACCCAGTTCTCTGGGGACGTAACACATAATCAGATGTTACCAACAAACATTACATAAATTTTCAAAATTCCCCCCAAGTCACGCAATCCTAGAACGGGCCTGTGTGAGACGCGAGCGCAACGGTCACACACGTCCGTCTAGCGCATGATTACAGTGAAAAACAATGGACAAGAAGCGCAGTGAATGGAGAAACACGTTCTGTGTGAACCGGCACTAAGAGTCTTTAGATTCTTTACACATGAAATACAATGCATTGTTCATTTCTTTGTGCAATTGTAATGAGTCATATTATTGATCTAGTCATTTTAATCCAGTATTTATTGTGTTTTTCAGCTGTTCTGAGGAGTGTTTGTTAGCTTTAGTTAAAGTGGTTGAGCTCAGTGATTCTCAGGTTTAAGAGTATAAGACACTTTTCAGCAGTGTTTGACCTTATATTTATCATGGCATAGAGATAAATCAGTTAATTCTGTGTGTGTAGAGCATCTAAAGAGAGTCTCCAGAAGCTGGTTGAATGTGTCTATGAAGCTCAGGAAGAGGAACTGACTCAGCACTTCCTGCAGAAAGTGGGCGGAGATCTGACTTCCTGTTCCTTGAGCTGGGAAGAGCTTCACTATTTCCTGCAGCACAGAATTCAACAAATCACTGTGAACTTCAGAAAGAGCGACATTCAGAGAAAGAGCGACATCAGAGAAATCCTGCCATTTCTGAACAGGATTCGGTTTAAACGGTAAATTATTTCTCTCTCAAAAACATCTTGAACTGAATATGTAGTGATAAAAAGATCAATCTTTAATCATGATGATGATGTGTGTGTGTGTGTGTGTGTGTGTACAGGATGAGCTCTGTCTTCATGCTGTCAGTAATCACAGAGATCTATGAGAGCCGCTCTGTTGGGAGTGTGTCCGGTCTGTTGAGTTCAGTGCAGAACTACATCAGCCTCCAGAGCCGAGATCTGGACTCTGTCCACTGTGCGGCGCTGCGCTTCACACTGCAACACTGCACTGCAGTTTCACTCGACCTGCTGTGGACCTTCATCCCAGAGGAAGAGCTGGAGAGCATTGTGCCTCTCTTCAGACATGTGTCCCGCATTAGGTCTCGCTGCTTTACTCTGGAGAGGCTTCTCAATGCGAAGGCTGCGTTCCTCCTTTACCCGTCCGGAGTCTAGTGTATCTCATATTAATAATAGATGTTCAATAAACATATATATATTAAAAATCTTATATTTTACTAAATGGTTGTGTGATCGAGATATGCAGCTTTTCATTTGAGAAACTCCTTATTTCTCTCTTCTCCTCTTTGTCTCGACTGTTTGTTACATTCAACAGATTCTGTGTGATATAAAAGCCTTGTGGCCATCATGTGTGTGTGTGTTCAGTGTTGATGACGGTGTGTGTGTGTGTGTGTTCAGTGTTGACAGGCTGCTGTTACTGAAGATGCTTCACTGCTGCAGTGTCTCTGATGTCCAGCAAGAGTTTTCCTCAGTTCTTCTCTCCGTCCTGCAACACAAGCTGGACTTCTCCTGCCGTTCTGCTCTGGATCTGACAACACACACACACTCTGAGACTCTACATCTGACCACTGAGGACTGCCGTGTGATGACCACAGTCATTCAGAGAGCTCACACAAACACACAGCTGATCCTACAGGACTGTGAGATTCACACAGCTGGAATGGACCAGCTGTTCCCAGTGTTACATGCTGTTAAACTCTGGTGAGAAACATCCACAGATTACATTCACACACAAACAGACAGAAATATAATCTAGATATTTCTCTTTCTGTGTGTTTCAGCTGTGATAAACCTCTGCTGCTTCAGTTTCTGGCTCGTGTGAGTCCTGAGGAAGCGGAGTCTCTTTCTGGAGCTCTGGGTGACGAGGTGGACCTCAGTCAGACTCCTCTGGAGCCGCAGGTCTGTCGAGGTCTGGCGCTGATTCTGGAATATTCTGAAGGACTGACTGACCTGGATCTGAGTCAGTGCCGTCTCACTGATCCCAGCCTGGATCTGCTGCTCACAAACCTCCACAAAGCACAAAACATCGAGTGAGTGACTGAGACACAAACAAGTATGATGTAATATTTCAACATTTTGTCTGATTTGTTTGTTTGATCTGCAGTTTTAGTGGCAATCGCATCACTGACACTGGGGCTCAGAGAATCTACAGTGTCGTCTGTCGCAACAGTGACATAAAGACAGTAAGGTGTGTGTCTGAACGTCACAGAATCACATTCCCTTCTGAAGTTATTTGAGCTGAAGTCTTATAGTATGCAACAAACATGAGGCTCAAAAATAAAACTGATCTCTGAGTTGAAGTGCTTTCTTTTTGATTCAAGGCCGTTTTGTTACTGCTTTTCCTTCGCTATCTACTACAATTTATCATCCATTAAAAAGAATGAAAACATTGGAACAATTTATGTCTATAAATCTGAATTCTGTTCATGATGGTGTGTTTGTTTCAGTGTCTAATATCAGTGTGTGTTTGTGTCTGTAGGCTCTTCAACAACAGAATTGAATCCAGAGAGCTCTTCCTCGCGGACCCACGATTCGAGATCTGGTGATGATGATAAACTCTCTCTGGAACAACAAGCAGGAGAAACAACCGATGCAGATCTAGAGAGATGAGGCTCGTGAAAAGGTAACGGGTGTGAAGAATCGGCCCATCAGAGTCCCAGAGATGAATCTCACTGCAGATTGTATACCATATACTGTACAGGTTTCATCATCATCTTCATTCTTCAGTCATAATCAACAGTGGGTTTCTGTTTCAATAAAGCCCCTTTCATGCAGCGCGTTGATCCCGGGAAAATGACAGGAAATTTAATAACTATTTTGTAAATGAACAAATCCATCTGTAAACTTTCTTTCCTCTTCTCCATCCCTTTATATTATTTTTGATGCAGGGTTATAGTTTTTTTAATATAGTTTTTATTTCTATTTTAAATTTAATTTATTTTTCCCTATAATTTAGTTTTAGTGTAGTAAATATAGTAATTTTTCTCAGCAACAGTTTATTTTATTTTTATTTTATTTTTGTTTTAGTATTTTTATGGCTTCTGAAGTAAATATGCTTACTGGAATCGTGTAAAATAAAAACAGGGTTAAATATTCAAGTCTTCCGGTGTTTTTGCTGTAGAGGCTTTTTCATGGTTAATTCAGGCGAGATGTGAAGGTTTCTAGTTTGACGTGTCATGTATCAAAACCTAAAATTAATTGGTGGTCTATTTTGGAGCCATGGTTATGTTATGTTTATCTTATTTTTTAATGAAAATGTTTTCTTTTAGTTTTCTATACTGATAATATGAATTTCTTGTCCTTTTCCCCCTTTTTTCCAGGCAAACTAATTAATGTAAACAGCCGAAGCATTCATGCAGCTTTCAGTCCTTGAGAGAGATTGTTTAATCTGTGTATTTAAAATATTTTCCAGATGTTTGTGCTTCATTGGATGTGGGCCTTTTATTGCATTTATTGCACATTTTCACAAATGGCAACAGTTTAGATGTAAACAGTTTTAAGGTTATGTGTGTAACATTGAACAACTTGTTTGAGCATCTTAAAAAACCGACACGGCAACACTGACGGCCCATAATGTGGTGAAGCGTTTATGAAAAAGATGTTGACGTGCTCCTGTGTGAATATTCCTGTATGTTGCCTTTGGCTTGCTCAGTTGGGGATATTCAAATTAACCCTCATGTTGTGTTCAAAACCCTATAACCCCTCTGGTGTTCCCGGTCAAAAATGACCGGCCCATAAAAAAAAAAAAAAAAACCTTATAAATCACTCATTATACCATATTTCTTCATTCACCCAGTCTTGGATTCAATCTTTTTGCCAACTTGTTCTCTTTCAATTAGGACTGGTTTTATATTTCTGTTTGCATCTGATTAATCGTGGGCCTCATTTATCTGAGAGTAGGCATCTCATTTTTGAGTAAAAAACAAATAATTTGAGTAAATTTGGAAATATGAAAAAAAAAAAATGAAAAAAAATGGCTACTTTTCATCACACTAGTCTACTCTAATGTTTCACCAGAAATGCTGTTTTGAAACTTTTGTTTTGTAAAAAATATGGCACATAATCACACTTGTGGTGTTCCTGGTCAAAAATGACCGGCCTATAAAAAATTGCTTATAAATCACTCATTATACCATACTTTCACCCAATCTTGGATTCAATCTTTTTGTCAACTTGTTCTCTTTCAATTAGGACTGGTTTTATATTTCTGTTTGCATCTGATTAATCGTGGGCCTTATCTATCTGAGAGTAGGCATGGTCAAAAATGGTCACAATGGCCGACCATTGAAAGTGAATGGGAGAGACTGAAAATAACAGAACAATTTAGTTTTCAGGAGCATGTTCATTATTTTCATGTACACACATGACCTTGTGTGCTTGCAAACATCGAGCCCTTGGACCTGTGCATGTATCGATACATTTATACACACGCTACCCAGACACACACGTTAAAACACACAAGCCATAGACTTTGATTGTATAAATGGAACTTTAAAGACTAAATGGTTAAGATGCTTTCTAGCAAACAGTAGTAGCGTCTGGTATTGTGTTTCCAGGGAACTGTTTTAAAAAATTGGAGGTATTGATATTCTTTTACGCTGTAATTTTGAGGTTCCAAAACTTTCTGTAAAACTGTCTGCATTTCATTCACAAGTTCTGTTGTATTGAAAACTACTGTACAAACACATTTTTACTCCCCATGATGTAGCTACCCATCTGGAATTGCAGATTCATTCTCTTTAGAAATAAATCCCTGTTTCAGTGAATGGATTACAATATTTGGTCTGTGACACATTTACTGGACAATTATGGTTTTATCTTTTGATTTTGCTGCAAAATTTAATTTTCAGTGCAATCATAAACATTATAATGTGGTTATCCAAAGAATCCCTTTCGTCTTATTCCTTTAGATGGAAAAAAATGCACAACCTCATTTGTTCAACCCCCTCTTCTCCCCTCACTGATGATTACTGATCACCAGTTCTGTAAGACTTTGCAGAACAAATTGTTTTGTGATCTCTTTAATCTGACTTTATACCCAATGCAATACTGTACAGCCGAAATGCTGCTTCTCTTATCTTCGTTCATTCTTGTCTGAAGGAACTATACACAGGTTTCTTAAAGTTACCTTTATCACCAAAAGCTAAATAGCTCCATTTCAAAATATATGATATATATCCTTCAAGAGACCACCTCTCACTTAGGTTTAACCTGAGTTATACTAACTGTATATTCTGTGATGAGAACATAGAGACCACGGATCATTTGTTTTTCTTCTGCCGTTACAGCAACATATTCTGGTGTGACATGTATGATTGGCTGGAGCCTTATCTCCAGTCTCTCTCCAGTTTCACTAGATAACATCACATTTGGAATTATAATGAAAGACAAAAACTATAAATGCTTTTAAACACTTTAATTATCTTGGGTAAATTTTTCATCCACAAATGTAAATGAATAAAAACACAGCCTCTATTTACTGTCTTCAAGAAAGAATTTGCATTGTACTACAAGTCCCTGTGGGTCACGAATAAAACTACAAAACTACAAAGAATAAAAAAGAATAAAACTACAAAAAAACTTCTTATTTTATTGATGCCTTAAAATTAATTGAAGCCCCTTTACTATTGTTTCATAACTGTTTCTTCATCTTGTGTTTTTTTATTTGTTTATTGTTATTATTATTTTACTTTAATAGCTGTTTGTACTTTTTTGTGCTCAGTTTCCTGTCACTGATATTCTTGTAAATTCTGACTAAGCCAGACATTGTTGTAAATTTTACACTTCAATAATAAAAATAAATAAATAAATAAAAATTAAAGCTGGAGAAAAGAGGAGGGGTATTGAGAAGCACTGTTTCCTGTACAGTCGAAACTCGGAAGTTGCTGTCGAGATGAATGGCAAGTAATTTATTTCCAGACTGAATTGTTAACATTGCTTCGTTTGACATTAAATGGACCATATGTCGCTGTAATCTATTTAATCTGTTCTATTTCATAACAGAGTAAAGCCAGTCTGACCAAAGAACACCAACAAACTTTTCCAAGTTTAATCCGTTCAGTGCTTGTAACGTTAGCCTATAGGCTATATGGATCGCACCTTGTGTTTTATTCATGAATGTTCGTTTAATTTATTTATATTATATGCTTTCATGGATCGCCAAATTGTAGCCTATGTTTGCCAAGCTGTAGCCTATCTATGTCTTTGAAAGCATGTTTAACGTAGTCATCGCGTCGCATGAATGGCTAAACCGTTATTATGTCTTCGTCTGTTCACCCATCAGAGCCTTTTTAGAGTAGCCTATACTGTGAAACTGATAAATTATGCAAATGAAACTATTTGAAACACGAACTAATCTAGCCCTCACAAAGTTTGACTAAAGGTATGAACGCTTGAGACAAACAGTTATTTGGTTTTAGTTTCGTTTTTACACTTGTTAATGAGCCGGAGGCTGACCTGGTGATCATGTGTTACTCGAGGGTCATGGAGCTTAATCTAGAAGTATGACTTTTTATATGACAACGTTGAGTTAAATATTAAATTTACAACAGTTGCATTATCATTTAATAATTAAATATCATTTCATAATAATAAATGTCACTGTAATGTATTGATGATATTGATGAATTTGTGGCATTCACAGAGTATGAACAACTTGCACTGGCATTATTGTCCATGTTGTGTTCCTGCTCTAAATCTGGTGACACAACAGGTTATCTTCCACAGCTTCGGTTTGAGTTGAAGGACACACTGTCTCCTTTTTCAGCAAGTCTTTTCTATTTCTTCTGAAGATGCAACTGTCTTATGTTTGAAAAATGTAAGACCTTTTTGTTCAAGTATTTTATTAACGGTTGTGAAGTAATTATTTATTCAGAATAAGTACCTACTCTAGAGTATGCGGTTTCAGACGCAGCCCTTGTCTTTGCACTGGCATTAAAGGCATTGCTTACCCAAGGGCCTGATCATGTGACCTGAATAAGTCACTAGTTTAAATCTTGATTTTTGCATGTCATTTCTGTCGATCTTTAAAGCATCCAGTTCTAGCACTGATGTGAAATTACAATCTGCACCTGTGTCTAACTTTACGGTCAGCTTCTGGTTACCTTGAGGGTTTCGGTTCACCGTGCCACTCCAGCTCTCTATTTTTCACTTCATCCTTCTCATTAATTTGGTATAGTTACTTTTGCCTCCTCCTTCTCAATGTTTTAGCCACCCTCAAGTTGTTTCAAAGATGTAAGATTTTTTTTCTTCTTCAGCTGAACACAAAAGAAGATATTTTGCAGAATGACGGTAACCAGACAGTTGATGGACTTCCTGCCTCTGATCTGGTCATTTGTAATACCAGACACAATTCAGTCCTTTATAAGTGACTTGGTAAGTTCTCCAAATTCACAACCCTTCACTTTATTTTTTTAAGTCCGTCACATAAGCATCAATCGACTCTGTTTGGCCTTGTGCTCTAATAAAGAACAAATGTGTCAGGTTTTTCCGTGGTTTACAGTATTTGGCAAACAGCTCTTTTAATGTCTTGAAGTTGTCAAAATCATTATCAAACAGTAAACGTGTTGAATACCTCAATTGCATCATCTCCTGCGACGTGTACAAAAGTGGCAGGCTTTTTTTTTCTGACTTCTTTTTTTCACAAGGTTACGCTTGTGATACGATACAGTTCAAATTGCTGCATTCAATCTCTCCAGTTTCCAGCTAATAAATATGTTTAAGACATGTAATACTGTTGCAGGAAAATGTTTAACCTTCTGTCTTCTACCTCAGGTTTGAAAGGCCTGCATTATGGCGTGTGCACGGCAATCTGCTGTTGAGTTCCTCAAAAACGCCAGGAGAAACCTGGTGACCCATATGAAGGACCTTCCTCTGATCATTGAGAATCTTTATCAGAAGAAGGTTTTCAATGAACATGAGGTCGATGCTCTCAAAGCTGAGAGGACAGAGTTTGATAAAGCCAGATGTATATTGGATTGGGTCATTAACAAAGGGGAAGAGGCCAGTTATGAATTACTCAGGATTTTGGATGGCATTAAGAAGAGGACATTGCATCCTGATTTACACTCCTGGATCTGCTGTTTTCCCTTCAGATGGGAAGAGGAAGAGGTCAGCCTTGCATTTGGTGAGTAGATAAACACATTTCAATAAAAGGCAGTAAATGAACACATTTCAGTACAAATCTTTATTTGTGTTGCTGTTTTAGGTACAAAGCCCTGTCAAAACTACCAGTCAGCACTCAAGAAGAAAGCAAAAAGGATCCTGAAGGACCAAAGGGAACGTTGCTGTAAATATCCGGATGACAAGGCACAAGGAAACTTCCATTTTATACCTGTTGTTTTAGAGAGAGACTCTGTGGTGAAAACTCCTCAATGTAAAATAAAATGGAAAAACAAAAAATGCAAAAAGATGAGGCCCAAAAAGCTGAGAGCATACATTCCTACTGAGCAACAAACACTTTCACCTGTGGATCTGCTGAGATGCCAAGAGAAGAGCATCCTCCTCATAGGCAAACCTGGAATAGGAAAGACTACAGTCGTCCAGGAAGTGTTGCGTCTGTGGGCAGAGAAAGAGGGCCGAGAGCTGGACTACATGTTCTACTTTGATGAAAGTGTTTTGTCTGGTTCTAGCAATGACGATGTGGAGTCTATTTTGTTTAAAGTGTATTTGAAACCAATGGATAAAGACAGAAAAGACGTGTTTCAAGATATTGAGGAAAACTCTGAGAATGTTGTCATTGTATTTGATGGCGTTGTCGATTTAGAAGAAAATTCCACCTTAAGGAAGATCATGGATCACGAGCTCCTGCCTGATGCCAAGATTATAATAACTTGCAGATCAGAGGTGGAATATGATCCACTTTTCTCCAACTGGCCGACACTGAAAGTGTATGTCCAAGGATTCAGTGAAGAGTCTATCAACACTTACTATCAGAAGATGTTGGGTCACGATCCTGTTCTTCTAGATGTTGTTTTGAAGAATCAAGAGCTGTTCAGTCTCAGCCATGTGCCAATGTATGCATTCATGATTGTAGACTTGATTCAATTTAAAAACGACAATGTTTTCAATCATCCACACACAGTCACAGAAATGTACATCCACATTTTCCGTGTTGCTGTGAATAAAAAAATTGAGCAAATAGATAAATACTTGAAAGACAACAAAGATCAGGTTTATTTTTTGATGAGAAAGGCATTTAATGCAACTATGCAGAAAACCCTGAACGTTATTAGCAGTGATGAGACCAACATTTCTCATGCTTTTCTGAAGATGATCACAACAAGAGACTCGCCTACATCAGCAACGACGTACTGTGCGTTTCTCCACAACACAATCCAGGAGTTCTTCTCAGCTTTGTGGCTTCTTGGACATCCAGATGAAATTGAGAAAGTCCTACAACTCTGTCAGACTGAGGAGAGTAAACACATGAAACATGTTCTTCCCTTCCTATGTGGACTTCTGGGAGAACACAACATTAAACTCATCAAGTGTCTCTTCCCAGAGGATCAGATAAAGAAAACATCTGACTGGTTCATTGAGAAGTTTTTGGAAACGTTCCTCCAAGCTCAGAGTGAAAGTGAAGAGTTTGATCTTCTCTATGTGTGTCAGTGCTTGTATGAGCTCCAGTCTCCTAAAGCGTGCTTCATGTTCCTGGAGAAGATGGACCATCAGCTCGAGCCTAAAGAGGATCTCGACCCTCATCAGTGTTGTGCTTTGGCTTACGTGATCACTCAGGCCAGAGATAAAGAGGTTTATCTGAATGTGGAGGACTGTAACATGACTGACGCAGGAATGAACATCATGCTCAGCTGCTCACCCAAGATCAGGTACTAAGGAATAGGTTTGAAATGATTTATAGCAATATATATATATATATATATATATAAAATTGTGACAACGTATCGTGGGTGTGAAAATCATTTGCAATATAGTTTTTTCTCCTCCTTAAATATTTATTCTTTCATCATGCTTAAACCCTTGTCGTTTTAAACTCATACGATTTTCATTCATCACATTGTTTTATGAAACCTTTTTAGATGGTTTATTCTTATCATGTAAGTGCATTTATAGAGGGAGAGAAGGGAAACAGTGAGAATCGCAAGAGTTGTGTGCGCGGCTTGTAAGAGATCCAGTGAATGCCTGCATTGAAAGCGTTTATACAAAAAAAATTAGAAAAAGTTTCAGTGGTAGAACTACATTAAAATCGTATCGGGATTACAGTATTGTGTATTTTACTAAATCGCAGCATGAGTGTATCTTTACACCCCATCTTTAGTAAGGAAGGATCATGATATTTGACTAGTCAACCAACAACTCTTGGCCTGTATTTAGAGACGCAGTTTCTCACTCTTATAGCCTGTTAAGAAACCGACTCCACAGGACTAACTTCCACAATCCACTCCTGCTATTTCTTTCACTTCAGCCACAATGTTCTTGACTTTTCACCCCCAAAAGCTGCATCTAAATTTTAATTGATCACAGACTTTATGCAGTTCAGAAATGGCATGCAGGTGTAAGATTAATGTTGTCTCAATTAAATATTGAAATCTGAAATGTATTTCCTATTTGAATATTTAAAGCTCATCTATTCTAGGCCACCCCATAAACCCTTACATTAGTATTGAGAACAATAATACAAATGTTGGAAAGTGCATGTTGGGTTTTTCTATTGCATGCAATTATCAGAGATGAGGTAAATAATAGCATTGCAGTTCAAACTACAGCGTATACATGGTTTATTGTGGGCCTGTGGTCCATTAAAAAAATTCTAACGTCTGTTTTCCGTCTCAGTCTCTGTGGTTTTAAGAGATTTCAACCCTGGGGTCATTCAGCGGTCCTTAAGAAGGAGGAGGAGGTCTGTTTTAAATCCTTTTCTTGAGATCGAACAACGTTATCTTGGTTCGTCCCGAAATCTGCCATTTCTGAACCAATCAGTCTTTTCCACACTATCTAACGTTGGCAACGTTGTTCCTTTAGTTGGGCTCATCTTTTTGCATGGCCATAAAGTTCTTAGCTTGGGGTTTTCGTTGGCTAGCGTAGACTGGCAGGAGCCTGGATTTTATGTTTCTGGATTGGTGATTTGGGGTCTGAGATGTTGAGTTTTGTGTGAAATTATGCTTGAATCGGGAAGATTCATTTGTTTGTTTCGCCCTCAAATCCTACAATGCCTACTTTTAACACTTGCCAAGAGTCTATTGTCAGTAAAAATTGTCTGCTTCACACAAACTCTTCTCTGCTTTTAAATCTCCTTTGTAAAAGCTTTACATGGCATAAATAGTCCTCACTTTAGATTAACTCTAGAGTAAATGGTTAACTGACCACTACTAAATGCTTTATAACGAATCGGAATTAAACATGATATACAGTAGAAATACATGTTAAGCATTTATTAACATGCTAAGTAACTATTACCAGATAATAAGATGTATGAAATCTATGAATGTACATTTAAATAGTTTACTTTTACTTTTTAAGTGATCTTATGAACCCCTATTATAATAATGCAATGCTTCATTTAGAAATGATAAATTGATCATTAATAAAGCATGAAAATACAATTAAACACATTATAGATATGCTCATAAATTAAGAATAAAGGATTTATAGCTGTATTTATAAACTGTTTATTAATGCTTTATAAATTCTGAATAAACTGTTCACTAATGATTAATAGCATGCAGTTAAAGTGTTAGTGATGTGGTAACCTTAGGGAATGAGATTTGTTATGAATTTAAGAGCTCTAAGGTCTTCACCAAAATACAAGTTGAACTTTTGAAAGCAAAGAAATTAAGACATAAATATTAGTATGTAACGAGGTTAGATGTTATGAGAAGGAGGAGGCAGGAACCGGAGAACATTTAAAGATTTTATAACAAAATAAAACAAATACAAAACAAAAGTATAAGCCAGCAGCCCCTCACGGACGACTGCTGACCACACAAAACAGAAACAAAACATAACACAAAATCAGGCCTGTTCCTCTCTGGATCTTCACTGTCTTCTCTCCTCCTTTTATGCTTCCGCTCCTCCGTGAGAGATATGAGACCGGTGTGTCACTCATTATCAATCATGCAACCGGCCTCACGCCGTTCTCTCACATCCCTCGACCTCGTCCTGCTCGCCACATAGTATTATAATTTTACTGATGTTCTGTACATTTAAATTGTATTATCATCATTACTATTATTATTAAATTACTTTATTTTACAGAACAATAGAATTATTTCATGCCGTAGTAATGTATTTCTTTATTAATTTGCTTAATTGTCATAGTTTAAAATTATTATTATTATTGATGTATGATTTCTGTGTTGCAGATTAAAGGTTTGGAAAGAACCAATGAAGCAAATCTCATTCTTTCGAGAATTCTTCCATAAAGTATCTCAGTGCAGATGCTCCTGTTTAGCCATGCGACACAATAACAACCCAGAACTGTGTGATTTCCTGCTGGATCTTTGCTCACATGTGAAGAACTATGAGACTCAAACAGGCAGGAGTTTCCTTCCAGCATTACAGTCAGTTTTCCAGTCTCCTGATGTCTGGATCATAGATCTCTCACAGAGAAAGACCTCCGTCCTCCTGGAAGTGCTGAAACTCCAGACAGAGAAGAAACCAGTAGATCTGAGAGGATGGTCAGAGGAAGAGAGTGAAATGAAGAGTTTCCTTCAGTGTCTGTCCTACATCTCACAGCTGAGGTAAGATATTGTACAGCCTTTTGCTCAACATGTTTAAAAAAGCTGGAGTAGACATTTGTGTTTTTAAATTAATTCCTTTTTTAAAATTGTTTTGTATTTAGCTTTGGATGCAGAAATGTGTAAAAATGTATTGAACTGTTATTTTAAGGGTCATAGAGAAGCTGGTAAATAGTCAGGAAAATTAAACTGACTGGTTTTAGAAACCTTAACTAACGTTAGCTCAAAAAGGAAATTGTAAATATTTTAATAAATGAAACTATGAATACACACAACAACACTTAAATATCACACACAGTTCATCTTTGAGAGCCAGCAAAGAATCAAATCACCTAAAGGCACAGGCAAACAATCTTAAACATCTAAATATCGATAGAAATAATACTTACATTGATCCTTTGGTGCAGCGTGTGTGTGTGTGTGTGTGTGCGTGCGCGTGCTTGTGCTTGTGTGTGTGCGTGTGTTTGTGTTTGTATGTGTGTGTGCGCGTGTGTGTGTGTTTGTGTGTGTCCTTCTGTCCGTCCGTGGTTCATGATCTTGAAGTGTTTTTTGGGTTCTTCCGGAGGGCTCGTCGTTCACGGGTTTAAAAGTTTAACTTAAAAGTAAAGTTGCTGAAAATCAAGAAGATGTTGTCTCATCTGAAAGACAGGAAGAAGGAATGATAGAAAATAAGCTGTTGTCATCATCATTTAAGGATAAATCAGTCCACACCTATTTTGGGTGAAATGGCCAATAGTAGTTATGAACGTTTAGCGGGAGAGAGTTTCTTCGTCTCCTTCTGACAGTCTAATCTGCATGTTTAATGATGATGTCAGAATTGGTCATTTTTACTGGATAAGGATGATAAACATAGTATTATACATGTTATTGTAACACACTAAACATCATTAATGGTGGAAACATGACAATGGGGGAAATTTGATCCAGACTCATCGGCGCTAGGCCTGTGATTTACATGAAGAAGTCCAAAAAGGTTCAAAGCTTTCTGAAGTTTAGAACTGAATCGGTCATCGTGACTCAGTCCAGACGCTACACGTTATACTGTATATGGAGACTGGAAAATACTGTGATAAATGTCACTCGATTCTGTCCTCTTATATAAATGTTGCTGTTATGTTTCTTATTATCAGAATAATTGTTTTCTATATAGTTGATTTATAAATGCTGTATGTTGTCATAAATTAACAGGATTTTTATTTCTCTGTATTTGATCAGGTTTAGGTTTTATTATAATAAAGAGATGAAGAAGTCTGCAGTGAAACTCCTGCTGAATCTCAGTGTTGCTGCAGGTGAAAATGTCACAGTTACAGGAACAAGATTCTCTACTCTGCTGTCGTCTGTGTGCAGTTACAAAACCTTCCCTTTTCATCAAGAGTGTTATTATAATCCTGATGATCAGAGTGATTTCCTGCTGGATCTTTACTCACATGTGAAGAACTATGAGACTCAAACAGGCAGGAGTTTCCTTCCAGCATTACAGTCAGTTTTCCAGTCTCCTGATGTCTGGATCATAGATCTCTCACAGAGAAAGACCTCCGTCCTCCTGGAAGTGCTGAAACTCCAGACAGAGAAGAAACCAGTAGAGCTGAGAGGATGTTCAGAGGAAGAGAGTGAAATGAAGAGTTTCCTTCAGTGTCTGTCCTACATCTCACAGCTGAGGTAAGATATTGTACAGTCTCCTTCTGACAGTTTAATCTGCATGTTTAATGATGATGTCAGAATTGGTCATTTTTACTGGATAAGGATGATAAACATATTATTATACATGTTATTGTAACACACTAAACATCATTAATGGTGGAAACATGATAATGGAGGAAATTTGATCCAGACTCACCGGCGCTAGGCCTGTGATTTACATGAAGAAGTCCAAAAAGGTTCAAAGCTTTCTGAAGTTTAGAACTGAATCGGTCATCGTGACTCAGTCCAGACGCTACACGTTATACTGTATATGGAGACTGGAAAATAGTGTGATAAATGTCTCTAGATTCTGTCCTCTTATATAAATGTTGCTGTTATGTTTCTTATTATCAGAATAAGTGTTTTTGTGCACTATATAGTTGATTTATAAATGCTGTATGTTGTCATAAATTAACAGGATTTTTATTTCTCTGTATTTGATCAGGTTTAGGTTCTATTATTATAATTATGAAGAAGTGAAGAAGTCTGCAGTGAAACTCCTGCTGAATCTCAGTGTTGCTGCAGGTGAAAATGTCACAGTTACAGGAACAAGATTCTCTACTCTGCTGTCGTCTGTGTGCAGTTACAAAACCTTCCCTTTTGACCAAGAGTGGTATTATAATGATGATGATCCTGTTTATCAGTGTGATTTCCTGCTGGATCTTTGCTCACATGTGAAGAACTATGAGACTCAAACAGGCAGGAGTTTCCTTCCAGCATTACAGTCAGTTTTCCAGTCTCCTGATGTCTGGATCATAGATCTCTCACAGAGAAAGACCTCCGTCCTCCTGGAAGTGCTGAAACTCCAGACAGAGAAGAAACCAGTAGATCTGAGTGGATGTTCAGAGGAAGAGAGTGAAATGAAGAGTTTCCTTCAGTGTCTGTCCTACATCTCACAGCTGAGGTAAGATATTGTACAGCCTTTTGCTCAACATGTTTAAAAAAGCTGGAGTAGACATTTGTGTTTTTAAATTAATTCCTTTTTTTAAATTGTTTTGTATTTAGCTTTGGATGCAGAAATGTGTAAAAATGTATTGAACTGTTATTTTAAGGGTCACAGAGAAGCTGGTAAATAGTCAGGAAAATTAAACTGACTGGTTTTAGAAACCTTAACTAACGTTAGCTCAAAAAGGAAATTGTAAATCATTTTAATAAATGAAACTATGAATACACACAACAACACTTAAATATCACACACAGTTCATCTTTGAGAGCCAGCAAAGAATCAAATCACCTTAAGGCACGGGCAAACAATCTTAAACATCTAAATATCGATAGAAATAATACTTACATTGATCCTTTGGTGCAGCGTGTGTGTGTGTGTGTGTGTGCGTGCGCGTGCTTGTGCTTGTGTGTGTGCGTGTGTTTGTGTTTGTATGTGTGTGTGCACGTGTGTGTGTGTGTGTGTGTGTGTGTGTGTGTGTGTGTGTGTGTGTGTGTGTGTGTGTGTGTGTTTGTGTGTGTCCTTCTGTCCGTCCGTGGTTCATGATCTTGAAGTGTTTTTTGGGTTCTTCCGGAGGGCTCGTCGTTCACGGGTTTAAAAGTTTAACTTAAAAGTAAAGTTGCTGAAAATCAAGAAGATGTTGTCTCATCCGAAGGACAGGAAGAAGGAATGATAGAAAATGAGCTGTTGTCATCATCATTTAAGGATAAATCAGTCCACACCTATTTTGGGTGAAATGGCCAATAGTAGTTATGAACGTTTAGCGGGAGAGAGTTTCTTCGTCTCCTTCTGACAGTTTAATCTGCATGTTTAATGATGATGTCAGAATTGGTCATTTTTACTCCAAAGGATGATAAACAGTATTATACATGTTATTGTAACACACTAAACCTCATTAATTAAGGCGTAACGAGAGGAATATTTTAATACCAAGAAAGAAATGGCTGGAAGATATCAGAGAAACATTCTCACACTTGATTATAAGCACTGAGAGTTTAACTAACACAACTAGAAAGTTGTAACTAGGCTAATATAAGCTGAGGACATTCATACACACAGGAATATATCATATACATTCTGGGAAGACTTAAAGGGTTAGTTCACCCAAAAATGAAAATTAAGTCATTAATTACTCACCCCGTATGCTGTACCGACCTTTGTTCGTCTTCGGAACACAAATGAAGATGTTTTTGATTAAATTTGAGAGCTGTATAACTACCACATTGGCTCCTAAGGGACTGGCTCTTGACGGCCCAGAAAGTCAATGAAGAAAATGTTTAAATATTCCATGTGACTACAATGGCTCAACTATATGTTTATCAAGCGACGAGAATACTTTTTGTGCGAAAAAACAAACAAAAATAACGACTTTATTCGACTATTCCTTTTCTTCCTTGTTGGCCTGAAACGAGACTTCCTTAGATTTCCACGACGCATGCGCGAGAACTGAACTGAAGTAGTTAAAGGAGATCGCAATTCTCGCGCATGCGTCGTGGAAATCGTATTGAAGTCTCGTTTCACGTTATACTGTATATGGAGACTGGAAAATAGTGTGATAAATGTCACTAGATTCTGTCCTCTTATATAAATGTTGCTGTTATGTTTCTTATTATCAGAATAAGTGTTTTTGTGCACTATATAGTTGATTTATAAATGCTGTATGTTGTCATAAATTAACAGGATTTTTATTTCTCTGTATTTGATCAGGTTTAGGTTTTATTATAATAAAGAGATGAAGAAGTCTGCAGTGAAACTCCTGCTGAATCTCAGTGTTGCTGCAGGTGAAAATGTCACAGTTACAGGAACAAGATTCTCTACTCTGCTGTCGTCTGTGTGCAGTTACAAAACCTTCCCTTTTCATCAAGAGTGGTATGATGATGATAATGATCCTGATGATCAGAGTGATTTCCTGCTGGATCTTTACTCACATGTGAAGAACTATGAGACTCAAACAGGCAGGAGTTTCCTTCCAGCATTACAGTCAGTTTTCCAGTCTCCTGATGTCTGGATCATAGATCTCTCACAGAGAAAGACCTCCGTCCTCCTGGAAGTGCTGAAACTCCAGACAGAGAAGAAACCAGTAGAGCTGAGACGATGTTCAGAGGAAGAGAGTGAAATGAAGAGTTTCCTTCAGTGTCTGTCCTACATCTCACAGCTGAGGTAACTGAACTTTTGGATATTCACTTCCTGTACCTACTTCTCGATCAGTATCACTTCACTATATCTTCTTCTGTTTATGAAAAAAAATGTTTTAGATTAATTTAGAAGCTTTTTTTTTTTTACAATGATTAGTGTTTAAATAAATAAATAATATACATATATATATGGTAATATGGTAACACTTTATTTGAAGGGGTGTGCATAAGACTGACATGACACTGTCATAAACATGACATAACACCTGTTATGAACATGAAGGAGTTTTATGAATGTTTATGACTGTTGTCATTAAGTGTCATTCGGTAAATTATGACACTTCTAATGCAAAGTTGACATTGTTTAAAGTGTCTTTGTTATGACAACTTGACATTAACCAAGAAATCATAACCTGTCACAAATATGTCATAACAGGTCTAATTATCAAACTTAAAGAAGTTAATAACTGCATATTACTGCTACTTAACAAAAACAACACAGCATATCAACTACTTTGTTTTTAATTAATTGCAGTTTGCAAACAATATGCTCGAACTTTAATTGCCATAGCCACACCACACCCATTACAGAAAACATATTTACAAAATGTGATGATTGGTTGTAATTTCAGAGGGAGTCAGTAGTGGTGGCTGGGGGTTGATGCATACGAACATGGATGAATAAAGCAACAGAGAAAATGTTCATGAAAAAGATGCAGTTTATTTCAAGCACAACAATGAACAAAACACAAAATAGTATCTATTCTCATACTCTCACCACATTTTGATTGCCCTACTTCTGTCCAATTGGACCCTGGCATCTTCTCTGCTCATCTATAGTCCAGTCTCCTCCTGGCATCTTCTCTGCTCTCTTCAGTCTCCCCATGTGTAATTTACTGCAACATATGAGTTTATAGTACACATGAATAGGATAGTATTTATGATAAAAACAGCAATACAACAGGAAAAGATTCACCTCAATCACTTCACTAACCAATATTGACAGCTCTTTTGTCCAGTCTCCTCATGTCCTCTTCTCTGCTGCTCTTAACGGGTTAGTTATTCGGTATTTTACACTTAAAGCCCAGTTTTAAGATAGTTTCTGATTAAATAGAACGGTTTAGATTGAAATTTGGTCAAATACTGCTGTCCCGAGAACTTGTGTTAGCACTGGAACAATCATTCATAAAACGCATAAAACTTTCGTTTACAAAGACGTGAAACTTACCGAGTGGTCTGGGGTGTTCACTGATATGCTCACGCAAAAATCGCTGCAAAAGATGCTTTTCAACAGGTTTTATCGTAGTTTTTGTACGACTACATTGACTTGACTTGGGAAAAAACTATGATAAAACCATGGAAAGCATCTTTTACAGCGATTTTCTTATGATTTTGTATTCTATTTCATCAGCAACGATCTTAAAATACCGAACTAACGTTAACCCTTTAAGTCTCCAGTCTCCTCCTGTGTCTTCTTCTCTCCTCTTAACTCTCCAGTCTCCATCAAGCAGGCCTCGCCCTCCACGGCAACAGGTATTTCACTCCTATTGCTATAATTTCCGTCAGCTCTCATTTTTTTAGGTATGATAAAGCGATCCATTTTTAGCTTCGTTGCACCTCGTGCGGGCTCGCGGCAGCGCCTTGAACACGATGATAGGTGTAGCAGCGGCGTTCATGGGGCGTGGCAGTGATTCATGTTTATATTTTTTATATGTCGAATCAATTATTTATGATTATTGTTCTGCCTAGTTTGAAGAGAAACATTTTTAAATCTTTATCCTGCATGAATATATTTTTTAATCAGGAAGTGGGTGGGGGGTCAAATGGGGGGTCACAGCGTTTTTTGGGAGGGTCTTAAGACACACCCTGGCGCCGCCACTGCCTGTCATATGTGGTTGGTTTTGACTTTGGCCGTCATGACACCATAACTCTGTCATGAATATTTTACTTGTCCTCAAGTAAAGTGAAACACTTTGTACTAGTTATAAAGATGTCATTAAGGGTTATTACACTGTCAAATGCTGTCAAACAACAGTGTCATTAATATTTCCCCTTACCTCAAGTAAAGTGGAACACGTTGGACTAGTTATAAAGATGTCAGGTTGACAGGTTATGATTTCTTGGTTAATGTCAAGTTGTCATAATCAAGACATTTTTTGTCTTTGTTAATGTCAAGTTGTCATAAAAAAGACATTTGTCTTTGTTAATGTCAAGTTGTCATAACAAAGACAATTTAAACAATGTCAACTTTGCATTAAAAGTGTCATAATTTACCGAATGACACTTAATGACAACAGTCATAAACATTTATAAAGACTCCTTCATGTTCATGACAGGTGTTATGTCATGTTTATGACAGTGTTATGTCAGTCTTGTGCACACCCCTTCAAATAAAGTGTTCCTTTCATCCAACATTTTAAACTGTTTAGAGCAAGTAAAGCTGGAATTTGCTTTAAAGCACAAACATCATTTCTGAGTTTTTGTCTTTGTCAGAGTTCTGTGATCATTTATGTCTGTTTATAGTATTTTTTTCTTTTGGAAACAGGTTTCACTATATGAATATCAGTCTTGAAGTGCAGTTTCTTCTGAGACTCTTGACTAAAGCAGCAGAGACTGAGACACAGACAGGAGAGCAGATGCTGAAACTGTTATCATCAGTCTGCACCTACACATCTTTTCCTTATCAATGGAGTGACAGAATTAAACAGAGTGATTTCCTGCTGGATCTTTGCTCACATGTGAAGAACTATGAGACTCAAACAGGCAGGAGTTTCCTTCCAGCATTACAGTCAGTTTTCCAGTCTCCTGATGTCTGGATCATAGATCTCTCACAGAGAAAGACCTCCGTCCTCCTGGAAGTGCTGAAACTCCAGACAGAGAAGAAACCAGTAGAGCTGAGAGGATGTTCAGAGGAAGAGAGTGAAATGAAGAGTTTCCGTCAGTGTCTGTCCTACATCTCACAGCTGAGGTAACTGAACTTACATGCTTTTTTTGATTGTAGATTTAACCCTCAGAGACCCAGGCATTGATATTCATGATGTTATTTCTTTTTTCACCATTAAGCATCTTTAGGAAGGCATTGATGAGAACATTTTAATTTCTTTACATATTTGTGTGGATTGGGATGCCATTGGGAAATACAAAGCTAATTTACTATGTTGATGTTCAATAAAGCAAGTGAAAGTTTTGAATTCACAATTCAATGCACACATCTATATTGCAATCAGTAAGGACAAATTCAGTCCTTAAAAAGTTTTTTTTGAAACCAAGAACTATTTAAAAAAACTACAATAAAAATAAAAAAATCAAGTTTAACAAAATAAAAGGTAAAGAATCAGTCCATGACTGTTGAACCACATTTTTCCATTGTCTGGTTTAATCAAAATAATAGAAATGCTCTCCTCTGAATATAACTGTAGACTATGTAATGTAGTATTTTAACACAAATCATTGAGATATTAACAACTTCAAATCATTTTCATCTCTTTTAGAGTTTATAATTGATAAATTGAAGAATAGAGTCCTTTTTTCTGCTGACCTTAGAAAGATAGTCTCAAATGTAAGTTGATCATTTCAGGGCACAAAATGTTGATCAAAAATGAATTACTTTATAAGAATAAGTAAAGTTCATTATAAAGTTCACTGCTAGAACTGGCTGATCCTGCAGATTTGTTGAAGTCATAATTTACATTCTACATTTACTGACGCTCCAGAAGGAAACACAATTCGGGTAAGTATATATCGCTTCTGCAGGGCATTATTAAAAAATAAGATCTTAAAATAAAATAAGGATGATCCAATCCTCCTTTTGAAAGGTTTACACCCACCAGCTCTTGATGTGTTGTGTTGCCTTGAGCATCAGTGAATGTTTCAGCTTTTGATCAGTCAGATTCATTACAACACATATGAACTGGATCTTTTGTGTAAATTGTGTTATTATTATGTCTTGTGGTCTATATCTGAACAAACATCAGGTGACTTGAACTGTACATATATTTAAAGTTCCTCTCAAGTTACTGTTCATGCAATAAACAAGAATTTTTAAAAAAAGTATTAAAAAGTGCATTTATCTAGTATTTAATACAATGTCATTAGAAATCAAAGTGAATCATTCTGAATTTGCAAAAAAAGAAAAGAAAAACAAAATAAGGAATCACATAATCAGGTGTGACCAACAAACATTAGATAAGTTTTCAAAATTCCCCCCAAGTCACGCAATCCTAGAACGGGCGAGACGCGAGCGCAACGGTCACACACGTCCATCTAGCACATGATTACAGTGAAAAACAATGGACAAGAAGAGCAGTGAATGGAGAAACACGTTCTGTGTGAACCGGCACTAAGAGTCTTTAGATTCTTTACACATGAAATACAATGCATTGTTCATTTCTTTGTCCAATTATAATTGATCTAGTCATTTTAATCAAGAATTTATTGTGTTTTTCAGCTGTTCTGAGCGGTATTTGTTAGCTTTAGTTAAAGAGCACCTATTATGGCATTTAAAATGTTCCTAATATTGTTCTGGGAGTCCCCAACGACAGTTTTACATGAATGCAATGACAAAAAACACTTCATTTGTCTTATAATATGCATTTATTTTTACCTGATTTGCTCACCGACTCCAAAATGATTCGTACAACGACTCATTTTTCCAAACCACTCCTTTGCGTGACGCTAATCGGCGGTGATTGGTCAGATGACCCAGTCAGTTATTGTTTGTTAGCCCAACGCATAAACATATTGATAAAGCACTGCAGTACTACAAGACACTCTATTGTGTTTCTTACACACACACACACATACTTATTGCGCCTTCCGTCCTCGCGCCACGTACAAAACCGTACAAAACCCATAAAAGCAACAATTATTAATAATACTTACAGGTTGTGATTCATAGGAGGAAGCTGATCCATATACACTGGGTAAGTTACTGAGCCCTCCTTTGCATTGTAGAACACAGCGTCTTCTCGACATGATGCTATGATGAAGTATTTGAATGTGTTCTAGCGACTTCCGTCTGCGCGCGCAGTAACTGGGCGCGGCCAGTATGTATCTACGTCACAATGTAACAGCTAATGACTCGTTTCAAAAACAATTCATTTCATAGACTCAGAGTCGAGTCGACTCTCACTTTTGAAAGACAATAACTTTATATACGGGCACTTTCAGATATAAATCTTTGCAGGATGTTTTCATTCCCTTACAGCTGTATTCCACACTAAATGAACAGTCATTTTCAAAAACCCATGATAGGGGCTCTTTAAAGTGGTTGAGCTCAGTGATTCTCAGGTTTAAGACTATAAGACACTTTTCAGCCGTGTTTGACCTTATATTTATCATGGCATAGAGATAAATCAGTTAATTCTGTGTGTGTAGAGCATCTAAAGAGAGTCTCCAGAAGCTGGTTGAATGTGTCTATGAAGCTCAGGAAGAGGAACTGACACTTCCTGCAGAAAGTGGGCGGAGATCTGACTTCCTGTTCCTTGAGCTGGGAAGAGCTTCACTATTTCCTGCAGCACAGAATTCAACAAATCACTGTGAACTTCAGAAAGAGCGACATTCAGTGCAACATCAGAGAAATCCTGCCATTTCTGAACAGGATTCAGTTTAAACGGTAAATTATTTCTCTCTCAACAACATCTTGAACTGAATATGTAGTGATAAAAAGATCAATCTTTAATCATGATGTGTGTGTGTGTGTGTGTGTGTGTGTGTGTGTGTGTGTGTGTGTGTGTGTGTGTGTGTGTGTGTGTGTGTGTACAGGATGAGCTCTGTCTTGATGCTGTCAGTAATCACAGAGATCTATGAGAGCCGCTCTGTTGGGAGTGTGTCCGGTCTGTTGAGTTCAGTGCAGAACTACATCAGCCTCCAGAGCCGAGATCTGGACTCTGTCCACTGTGCGGCGCTGCGCTTCACACTGCAACACTGCACTGCAGTTTCACTCGACCTGCTGTGGACCTTCATCCCAGAGGAAGAGCTGGAGAGCATTGTGCCTCTCTTCAGACATGTGTCCCGCATTAGGTCTCGCTGCTTTACTCTGGAGAGGCTTCTCAATGCGAAGGCTGCGTTCCTCCTTTACCCGTCCGGAGTCTAGTGTATCTCATATTAATAATAGATGTTCAATAAACATATATATATATTAAAAATCTTTATATTTTGCTAAATGGTTGTGTGATCGAGATATGCAGCTTTTCATTTGAGAAACTCCTTATTTCTCTCTTCTCCTCTTTCTCTCGACTGTTTGTTACATTCAACAGATTCTGTGTGATATAAAAGCCTTGTGGCCATCATGTGTGTGTGTGTTCAGTGTTGATGACGGTGTGTGTGTGTGTGTGTGTGTTCAGTGTTGACAGGCTGCTGTTACTGAAGATGCTTCACTGCTGCAGTGTCTCTGATGTCCAGCAAGAGTTTTCCTCAGTTCTTCTCTCCGTCCTGCAACACAAGCTGGACTTCTCCTGCCGTTCTGCTCTGGATCTGACAACACACACACACTCCGAGACTCTACATCTGACCACTGAGGACTGCCGTGTGATGACCACAGTCATTCAGAGAGCACACACAAACACACAGCTGATCCTACAGGACTGTGAGATTCACACAGCTGGAATGGACCAGCTGTTCCCAGTGTTACATGCTGTTAAACTCTGGTGAGAAACATCCACAGATTACATTCACACACAAACAGACAGAAATATAATCTAGATTGTGATGAAGACGAGCCCACCAGCTCGTCTTCGGGGAGAAATGTGTGTCCGTTTGGATGTAAAAGGATGGCGCACTCGCAGAAGCACTTCGTGCAAGGTGGAATTTATTTTACAGTGCCAATAAGAAGACTGTCCACAGTGAAATATATCTATACAGGTGCGTACAAACAGAAAAGGGAAGATCCCTTAAAAAGTACAAAAATAACAAAATAAAGATGAAAACTCTTTTAAATAAAATGTATCTACCACACACCAAAGGGTTTCGTTTGCTTGAGGCACCACAGTTGCACTCTCGCTTCCGACTTGGTTAACAAGTCCAGACTTCAGGTTTGGCTTGGTTTAAATAGGCCAAACCCCGCCCCTTTTTGGGCCACACCAATTTCAGTAACATCTTACATTCACTACACACCAATACTGCATCTATTGGATTATCCATAATAATCCATACTAATTAATTCCCTATAAATATATACACATACATACACATACACACATAATAACACATAATTTCTTCATTTAAATACATACACGAACACCTATCCACACTATACAATGGTTTCGTCAGCTTCCGGTTTTGATGCGCCGACGTGGCACGGCCATGCCGTCATAAACGACCACCGCTCGCTCGTTCGGTTTGGATTCCCGGCCGGAAGACTGACTACGCCCACACAGACAAACAACACGAACGAAACGACACAACAGTGCAATGTAAGTGTATGAAATGACTGGGGAATGAATATGGAAAGGAGATTGGAGAAATGGGATGAATGTCCATGTGCTATCATAATCGCGTGTGCACCCGCTTCTATGATAGCGGCAATGATGAGAAGGAACAAGATGTAGATGAATGGAGTATTTAAGGGTGTATATATGTGAGCGTGCCAGTGCTGCTTCCCCAGCGGTAGCAGCTAAGGTGACTTTATCACATCACCTTCCCCCTCTCCTAGCCGCGGACTGGCCGGAAACCTGGACAGGTAGTCGGCTACTACGTTGAGTCTGCCCGGTCTGTGTCGTATCTTAAAGCGGTATGGTTGTAGGGCGAGGTACCACCGTGTGACTCTGGCATTGTGGTCCTTCATAGACTGAATCCAAGTTAGGGCCCGGTGGTCGGTTTCTAGATCAAACTCTCGACCAAGGAGATAGTAGCGCAAACTGTCCAGGGACCACTTGATGGCGAGACCTTCCTTCTCCACCGCTGAATATCTAGTTTTCCTGGGCAGTAGCTTACGGCTGAGGTAAACGACTGGTCTCTCTTCTCCAGCGCTTCCCTGGGCTAGGACCGCACCAATCCCCATTGCGGACGCGTCTACTTGCACTAAGAACCTCTGAGAAAAGTTTGGACTCTGCAGGACTGGGCTGGAGCACATCTTGTCTTTTAATGTAGTGAACGCTGTCTCACACTCATCGGTCCATGGAATAGGGTTCTTCACCAGTTTTGACAACAAGTTGGTCAGGGGGACCGCAATGGAGGCAAAGTTTGGTACAAATCTCCTGTACCAGCCCACCAGTCCGAGAAATGACCTCACTTCTTTCTTCGTCTTTGGGTTTGGGCTCCTTCGGATTGCCTCCACCTTGTCAATCTGTGGTCTCAGTTGTCCATTGCCCAGGTGATACCCAAGGTAGTTTGCCTCCTGCTTTGCCCACTCACATTTTGAAATGTTTAATGTCAATCCTGCTTCCTCTATCCTCTTTAAGGTTTTTTGGAGGTGTTGAAGATGCTCTGCCCAAGAGTTGCTATGGATTACCACATCATCCAGATATGCCGCAGACCAGTCCTCACAGCCTTGAAGGACTCGGTCCATCAGCCTCTGGAAGGTGGCTGGTGCCCCGTGCAGACCAAAAGGAAGGACTGTGAATTGATATAGTCCTAGTGGTGTTCGGAATGCAGAGTATGGTCTGGACTGAGGGTTGAGGGGTACTTGCCAGTATCCCTTACACAAGTCTAAAGTGGTGATGTACTGGGCTCTTCCAATTTTCTCCAACAGATCATCTATCCTAGGCATGGGGTATGCATCGAATTTAGATTGGGCGTTGAGCTTGCGAAAATCGATGCAGACACGTAGGGATCCATCCTTCTTGGGTATGATCACCACCGGGCTGCTCCATTCGCTTGTTGAAGGTTCTATCACTCCTAGCTCCTTCATCACCTTAATCTCTTCCTTTAAGGGTTCCACCAGCCTCTCAGGCACCCGGTAAGGACGTTGACGTGATGGTGTCGGATCGGAAAGGTGGATAGTATGTTGGGTTAGCTCCGTCCGTCCAGGCCTCTGACAGAACAAAGCAGGAAACTGGTTCAGGAGGTGCTGCAGCTCTTTTCTCCTGGAGTCTTCTAGGTGCGATAGATTCACCACAGACGGCTGCCTCTTTGCATCCTCTGATTCCTCTTCCCCCTCCACCTTCCTCACCAGAAGAGATGTTTCCGGTCCCTTACCGGGTGGCTCCTTCCACTCCTTCAACAGGTTCACATGGTAGGTCTGCCTGGTCTTGCCCTTGTCCGGATGATAAACTTCATATGTAAGTGGCCCCATCTTGCGTAGAATGCTGTAGGGTCCTTGCCATTTAGCCAGTAGCTTGCTCGTTGAAGTTGGCAACAGGAGTAATACCTTCTGCCCTGGTTGGAATTGTCTTAGCCTGGCATGTTGGTCATACCATCTTTTCTGTGCTCGTTGTTTTCCCTGTAGGTTCTCTTTGGCTTGTTCTCTGTACTGCTCCAGACGATCTCGCATCTCTAGAACATACTGTACGATCCCGCCTTTCTCCTCCATCTTGGAGGCAGGTTTCTCCTCCCAGCCTTTCTTCAGCAGGTCCAGAGGTCCTTGTACCTGCCATCCGTAGAGGAGCTCAAACGGTGAGAATCCCGTTGAGGCTTGGGGTACCTCTCTGTAGGCAAAGAGAACAAATGGTAACCACTTGTCCCAGTCTCGTCCTGTGTCTGCCACAAACTTCCGCAACATGTTCTTAAGGGTTTGGTTGAACCTCTCCACTAAACCGTCCGTCTGAGGGTGGTATGGAGTTGTTCGAATGGCTTTTATGCCCAGCTGCTTGTTCAGCTGCCCCATCAGTTGTGATGTAAAGTTTGTACCCTGGTCTGTCAGTATCTCCTCAGGTATGCCGACCCTGGAAAAGAGTTGAACCAGGGCATGGATGATCTTTGTTGTGGTGATAGAACGGAGTGGGAAGGCCTCAGGATACCTTGTGGCGTAGTCGCTGACTACCAGGATGTAGCGATGTCCAGCACTGCTCTTTTCCAATGGTCCCACAATGTCCATGGCGATCCGTCTAAAAGGTGCAGAGATGATAGGGAGGGGTTGCAGGGGTGCTCTGCCCCGCTGGGACACAGCACTCGTCTGTTGGCAGATAGGACATGTGTTGCAGTACGTTTTTACATCAGTATATAGTGTGGGCCAGTAAAAGCGTGAGCTAATACGTGCATATGTTTTCTGTTGGCCCAGGTGGCCAGCCCATGGAACAGTGTGTGCAAGGTGCAGAACAAGATGACGACAACAAGATGGTACAATCAGACGATTCACCTCATTCATTCGCACATACAACACATCATTCACGACTACATATTCTTCTTTGCACAGATTCAAATTCTTTCCACACTCAGCTTTGACAAACAGGGGTTTTAAAGTTTCATCGTTCCTTTGGAGTTGTGCTATGTTCCCTGGGACCTTCCAGCCATTAACTTCTAGACCCTCCCCCGAGGCCTCAGAGGCTGGGGTACCCAGGTACTTTGCAAGTCGCCTTTGGCGCCGTGACTTTTTAGGGCCTTTAGTCCCGCCCTGTACCAGACTACTATCGAAATCTGGCAGTGGCTGCAGACCTGACCTGGCTTGAGCTCGCGTAAGAGCAGGACATGACAAATTAACAGTGGCAAATGAATGTTCAGCGTCCTTAATGGTAGATTGCAAAAGTTCATATAACACTGGCAAGTCTCTTCCTAGAATCATATCAGCTGGTAAATTGTCCACTATGGCAACATTCAGCAAGTACATTTGATTCTGTACCTCTACCATTATCTCAGCCCGGGGATACTGCTTTACATCCCCATGCACACATTGAACAGAGGTAGTGTTCACATAATTGACATTATTTACAAAGCATGATTTCAACATTGACAGAGAACTTCCAGTATCTAAGAGTGCTTTTAGGGCATGTCCATTAGCAGTCACATCATATCCATTCTGACCCTCTTCCCCAGACACAATCTCACAGTCCCCTTCTCTAGGCACATAACAAAAGCCTGTGAGCTTCGCTTTGCGAGCGGGACACACAGCTGCCTTGTGGCCCGGCTGTTGGCAGTAAAAGCAAAGCCATTCTTTGGCCATTGACTTTGGACCTTGTCCCTGATCAGGAAGTCCAACACAGCCCCTCTCAGACCCAGTGTTATGTGAAACGCCACGTACAGTACCTTTGAGTGGTTGAGTACGAAGACTGCCGCGATGAGCATTCAGGTATTGCTGAGCCAACTTTGCTGCCGCCAATCCTGACCTCGGCTCGTGCTCTCTTACCCAGGTGCGTGCATCATAGGGTAGCACCCGAAGAAACTGCTCCAGGATGATGACCTCTCCGATCTCCTCTTTGGAGTGCTCCTCCGGTCGCACCCACCGCCTGTACAGATTCTTTAGCCGCTGGTAAGTCTCTGTCGGTGACTCTGTCGCTGGGACTGTAGATGATCGGAAGCGCTGGCGATAGGTCTCTGGAGATATATTAAACTTCTCTAGCAGTGCTTCCCTCAGTTCAGTGTAGACCTCAGCCTGCTCCTCGTCCATTGCAAGGTATGCTTCCAGTGCTCGCCCTGTCAGCAACGGGACCAGACGGTAGCTCCACTCCTCCTCGGGCCACCTCCAGGTCCTGGCCAGCCGCTCGAACCGCTGAAGATAATTCTCCAAGTCTTCCCCCTCCTGGAAGCTCGGCATTTTTGGATCAGCCCACTGCATTGGTTCTCTCTGTGCCGCGACATTCCTGGAGTCTTGGAAATAGGCTGAACTGTGTCTTGTAGAGACCTTCGGTGTTGGTAGCTCCCTTCGTTCACTCTCTGTGTCCCGTGAGGTCTCAGCTGGACGAATCGACTGCGCGATGGACTTCCGAAGACCTCGCATTTCCTGTAGATACCGCTCCTCTCTCTGCTCTTGAGAGTCGAGAAATCTGCGCATCAGGGAAACCATCCCCTCTTCAGCTGTATCGTCCGGAGTACTCAACTTAGTTGATTGTGGGCTGGACTTTGGTGAGATTCTGGGAAGACTTGCAGCTCCCTCCTCCTCCTCCTCCGTATTCTCACCAGAATTCCCGGTCTCCTCCTCGTCTGATGCCGCCTTCTCTGTGGATCGTAAACCCGCCTTGGGTTTTCTACCTCTCGGCACTTTCCCACGAGTCGACATCCCACCGCTGCCACCAAATGTGATGAAGACGAGCCCACCAGCTCGTCTTCGGGGAGAAATGTGTGTCCGTTTGGATGTAAAAGGATGGCGCACTCGCAGAAGCACTTCGTGCAAGGTGGAATTTATTTTACAGTGCCAATAAGAAGACTGTCCACAGTGAAATATATCTATACAGGTGCGTACAAACAGAAAAGGGAAGATCCCTTAAAAAGTACAAAAATAACAAAATAAAGATGAAAACTCTTTTAAATAAAATGTATCTACCACACACCAAAGGGTTTCGTTTGCTTGAGGCACCACAGTTGCACTCTCGCTTCCGACTTGGTTAACAAGTCCAGACTTCAGGTTTGGCTTGGTTTAAATAGGCCAAACCCCGCCCCTTTTTGGGCCACACCAATTTCAGTAACATCTTACATTCACTACACACCAATACTGCATCTATTGGATTATCCATAATAATCCATACTAATTAATTCCCTATAAATATATACACATACATACACATACACACATAATAACACATAATTTCTTCATTTAAATACATACACGAACACCTATCCACACTATACAATGGTTTCGTCAGCTTCCGGTTTTGATGCGCCGACGTGGCACGGCCATGCCGTCATAAACGACCACCGCTCGTTCGGTTTGGATTCCCGGCCGGAAGACTGACTACGCCCACACAGACAAACAACACGAACGAAACGACACAACAGTGCAATGTAAGTGTATGAAATGACTGGGGAATGAATATGGAAAGGAGATTGGAGAAATGGGATGAATGTCCATGTGCTATCATAATCGCGTGTGCACCCGCTTCTATGATAGCGGCAATGATGAGAAGGAACAAGATGTAGATGAATGGAGTATTTAAGGGTGTATATATGTGAGCGTGCCAGTGCTGCTTCCCCAGCGGTAGCAGCTAAGGTGACTTTATCACATAGATATTTCTCTTTCTGTGTGTTTCAGCTGTGATAAACCTCTGCTGCTTCAGTTTCTGGCTCGTGTGAGTCCTGAGGAAGCGGAGTCTCTTTCTGGAGCTCTGGGTGACGAGGTGGACCTCAGTCAGACTCCTCTGGAGCCGCAGGTCTGTCGAGGTCTGGCGCTGATTCTGGAATATTCTGAAGGACTGACTGACCTGGATCTGAGTCAGTGCCGTCTCACTGATCCCAGCCTGGATCTGCTGCTCACAAACCTCCACAAAGCACAAAACATCGAGTGAGTGACTGAGACACAAACAAGTATGATGTATGATGTAATATTTCAACATTTTGTCTGATTTGTTTGTTTGATCTGCAGTTTTAGTGGCAATCGCATCACTGACACTGGGGCTCAGAGAATCTACAGTGTCGTCTGTCGCAACAGTGACATAAAGACAGTAAGGTGTGTGTCTGAACGTCACAGAATCACATTCCCTTCTGAAGTTATTTGAGCTGAAGTCTTATAGTATGCAACAAACATGAGGCTCAAAAATAAAACTGATCTCTGAGTTGAAGTGCTTTCTCTTTGATTCAAGGCCGTTTTGTTACTGCTTTTCCTTCGCTATCTACTACAATTTATCATCCATTAAAAAGAATGAAAACATTGGAACAATTTATGTCTATAAATCTGAATTCTGTTCATGATGGTGTGTTTGTTTCAGTGTCTAATATCAGTGTGTGTTTGTGTCTGTAGGCTCTTCAACAACAGAATTGAATCCAGAGAGCTCTTCCTCACTGACCCACGATTCGAGATCTGGTGATGATGATAAACTCTCTCAAGCAGGAGAAACAACCGATGCAGATCTAGAGAGATGAGGCTCGTGAAAAGGTAACGGGTGTAAAGAATCGGCCCATCAGAGTCCCAGAGATGAATCTAGCTGCAGATTTTAAACCATATTCATGTTTCAGCATCATCTTCAGTCATAATCAACATTGGGTTTCTGTTGCATTTACTGAACATATCCATTTGAAAACTTTCTTTCCTCTTCTTCATCCCTTTATATTATTTGTGTCATGCAGGGTTATAGTTTTGAATTTAGTTTTTATTTCTGTTATATTCAACTTAGTTTAGTGTAGTTAATATAGTAATTTTTCTCAGTGACAGTTTTAGTTATTATTATAGTTTAGTTTGTAAACTAAAGTTAGTATTGCTTGTATGGCTTCTAAAGTAAATATTATAACTGGAATCGTTTAAAATAGAAATATATTTTAAATATATATATATTTAAATATATAGGTTAAATATTCAAGGCTTTCAATCCAGTGTTTTTGCTATACAGGCTTTTTCATGGTTAATTCAGGCGAGATGTAAAGGTTTCTAGTTTGACGTGTCATGTATCAAAACCTAAAATTAATTGGTGGTCAATTTTAGTATGTTTTGGAGTCATGAAAGTGTTATGTTAATCTTGTTGTTTTTATTTTTAATCTGTGTATTGTTTGTGCTTCATTGGATTTTGGCCTTGCGATGCATTTATGGCACATTTTCACAAATGACAACAGTTTAGATGTGAACCATTTTAAGGTGATGTAACATTGAACTTGTTTTAGCATCTTAAAAAACCCGACACCGCAACAATGACGGTCCATAATGTGGTCAAGCTTTTATGAAAAAGATGTTGACATGCTCCTGTGTGAATATTTTTTGAATGCTGAAGATGCTTTTGATATTTTTAATTTTCCATTTCAATGTCTTTCCAGTAGAGGGCAGCAATGATTTGTTAAAGTGAAAGGAAAGTGAAGTGATGCGAAGGCCCAGTTTACATACTTACAATCTGTCCTCTGTATTTAACACATCCAAGTTAGTGCACACACATTAGGAGCAGTGAGTAGTGAAAACACACACAAACGGTTAGGTGCTCATGGACATCTCAGTCGTTTCCTTGATAATCTAACCTGCAACCATTGTGTTACTGAGTTCGACTCTCTAAACATTAGTCCACGACTGCCCTCTCATTAATAATGAAAACATCCAAACTGAAGAACATACAGTAATGCATTTACACCATTGATTACCTGATCTTCTCCTCTTCATCATGAAGAAGAGTAGAAACCGTTTGACTGCCTGAATTCTAGTGTTTACTGAAGACACAATACAAGACAGACGTTATACTCAGGAAAACACAGTTAAAATATAATGTACGTACGTACTGTATTACAAATGTTTACTGGACGTTTGCAAGGTGTCATACTGTTACTTGACAGATGTATTTATAATAACCTGTTTTGCATTTATTAGATTTGTTATTTCTGTGGGTACGGTAATAACCTGTTACTGAATGAAATAAAAAATTTCTATATGTCCATATTCGTGTCATATCCAGCATATGTTGATTTTGAAACATAATATTTTGCTAGACTTTTTTCTGAATTTAAAGCTACTGAACTTTATCAGATTTTTAGCAGTTCTTCTAAGGTAGAGAAACAGGACGATGTGATCGAGAGGCACATTAGGGAGACAATAATGGCACTTGTATTTTCCTCTTCAGAGTTTGTGATCATAGCTGTTGTCATGACGATTCCATTTCCTCAGACATGCTGGAACAACGGCTCCAATCACTCAAACCATCTCAGTGTTTTTCAGTTGATGTTGAATGTGTCTGTATGAGGGAATCTCAGTATGACGACTGAGAGCTTACAGAACATAAAACATCTCAACATCTTTGAGAAAGAGATGAGCAGCTGTTGAAGTGTCTTCCACACATTCACTAATATATTACACTTCACTGAGGTTTGTTTTGAAGAGAGAAACTGTTTAATATTTCTGCACTTCATAGTCTGTAGATTTAAAAAGTCATATTTCTTTAGAAGAACAATTAGCCATTTTATGAAATCACTTTCATTATTTAACTAATTTTCTAGCCCTACAAGATATTAGTCTTCAGCACCAGCAAAGTACTTTTGCATTTATGAAAATCATGCAATATTGAGAAGCTTTCTCCAAATCAAGCACATTGTAAGGTCACAATAAGCTGGTTCAGTTTGACCAGCACAGATTTCCTTGTGCTTGAATTTGTTTTTTATGGACTTATGGCCGTATGGACTTTTTCTTTTTAATTCAAATCTGTGAACTGTGTAGTTCCAGCTGAGTATGAGACAGTGCTGGTGTAACTAATATTGATGTAAAATATGCAGTAAGTGTAGTTAATCCAAATGAAATGCAGTAAATAAAGTTATTAATCTTTTCTACTTTTCAATTCCGAAACATTTCTCTGGTGGTTTTGTTTGTTTGTTAGAGCATCATCTGTTGGGAGTCTGTCTTTAACTCTTCGACAAGCAGAGTCCTGACTGGCTCTTCAATGAATTATTCAACTTCTACACTTTGACTGTCTGTGGCTTGTTTTTAAAGTCTTCTACAACAGGGGTTTTCAAACTTTTTGTGTGTGTGGACCAGTGTTGGGTGTAACTAATTACTAAGTAATTAGTTACTGTAATTTAATTACTTTTCCCTTGAAAATGTGAAGTAAGGGATTACTCTTTATTTATCAGTAATTTAATTACAGTTACTTCTGATGTAATTGAGGTAAATACTGTGTATAGATCAATCTGATCTCACAGCGATTCGTGTGCATTTTACGAGGTGTCTAAATCGTACGACCACACTCGTACAAATTCGTATGAATTAGTCGTCTTGTAAAATATGTATAAAAAAAGTGTGAAATGTCATGAGTTCAGACATAAAACAATTGTGGGTTCAACATCAAAATGTATTGTCTGATGTTAAAAAGTATGTTTTTATAATGTAACCTTCACCTTGGTCAGTTTAAGGATAATTCATGCAATTTTATAGTATTTATTTGAAAGAATTAAAACAGATTCATGTCTATCCTTAAATTATTCAGCTGGTTGAGATTGATATGGGATTTTGAAAGTAATTAGTAATTAAAAGTAATTAAATACTTTTTAGAGAGAGTAATTAGTAAAGTAATCTAATTACACTGTTGAAGAGGTAATTAGTAACTAGTAATTAATTACTTTTTTAGAGTAACTTACCCAACACTGGTGTGGACCACTATTTGTAATCAAGAATTTTCACGGACCACCTCATAATACACATAGCCTATTATGATATTAAAAATTATATTATATTTTACATATTATAATCAGGTTCATTTGAACAACAGGCTTATTTCCATAGCAATGGAGTATGAAATCTATACAGTAATAAGAACACTTGGATATAGTCAGCATTTCAAAACCTTTGAATATTAACGTTAATAATCCCCTAAAATCGCCAGAGTTCTACAAGTCCTCAAAAAGTTGGCTTGAATTTGTCCACTTAACAGCACATCCGCAAAACTTTTTCAGAAACACAAGATCAAGAAACTGGAAATTAAAATAATAACAGGCCTTATTCATTCCATTTATAAACATTTTGTTTCATATAGGCATAAACTGCCTATAAAGGCATGTGATTTGATAATGAGAACATATTTGCCTCTGCCCTATTTGCCAGCCCGATATGAACGTAATATCCTCCTTTGTCACCCTCTACATCTTTCCCTTCCTCTTTGTATCGTCTGTCTAATATATACCTATATTAAAAACAACAACTAAATAAATGCTTACCTAACCTGTTGCTATTCACCGATCCGGTGTTGTGGTTCTGACGAAACGGAGCTTGAACGTCACGGCCGAGCGCCACTAGCCTATTTTAGTAATCATTAGACTTAGAACTAGTGTCCACCATTACCGGCTGAGGGGCAATCAGTTTTGATTGATGTTTACTACTTGAATTCTGCAAATGCACTGCATCTCAAAACATATCCATTTGTATTCCAGCAGTAAAGTCATATAGATTTGAAATGACATACGAGTGAATAAATGTTGACAAGACTTTTAATTTTAAGGTGAATTGTTCCTTTAAGTTACACTCATTTGGAAGCACACTCTTTATATTACTGTAGCACAGAGCTGATTGTCCTCTGCATGCGCTTCGCCCACAGAACACATCCCTCTCTCCTCGACCCATTTTATTTTCTGCTTTCATCTGCTCTCCTCTCGGGAAGGGTGAATTGTCTCATATAGTCTTAAAGCCCTAAACACGAAAGCAATCTGCTCAACAACTGACACATCAGACAGCATGAGGCTTTCCTCTGATAATAATGTTTCATTGCATAACACATTTTAAAATGTCTATTTTTAAGAGTGGGTTTTTAAGGCACTATTCTCTGTAATGTCCAGTATATTTTTTGTGAATATATTTGAGGCATGGACTTGTTTCTGCTACTAGATACAAAGAGATACTGCTGTGTATATCTGGGCAGGTGGAGCTGGGAAAGTGGAGGGGTTCAGAGGAACTCTGATAGTTCACAGCAAACAAGTAACCAGACTATTTAAATTTTGAACAAGCAATCTCATTGGCTGCAGGATCAGTGGGAGCCAATCAGCTTGTGCCATGCGGTAATGATTGCCTGCGCCCTCTAGAGTTTCATGGCTTAACTAGATATGTAAACTAATTCTAATATCAGAAGGTAGAATGACTGTTTACCTACTGGATATCAACTCATTGTTAGATGTTATTTCTCATATTCAGATGTAAAACAGTCAGGCTTTCTACAGTATAAGTCCCCTGGTTAGGGGTTGCAGGACTGCCGTAGATTGATGGCAGAGATGCTGATGTTTGCAGATATTTTTGGCTAATGCTGATGAAGCTATAGAGCTCTTAGCCGTCATGATAGATAGATGTTTCTAACCTTCATATCTTTTAAATTCACTGAAAGTGCTGATTTATAGAATCCACTTACAGCTTCACCTTAGCATGAACTTTCACCTGATTACCTAACATCACCCTACAATATAGAAAAATGCAGTTCATAGCACAGCAATAGACATCAGGAGATTAAAGTCAAATACGGCTGTTATAATGGAACAATAATTATACTGCAGCTGTTTTTGTTTCTCTTGTATATTTCACCGAAAGCCTCATGATAATGGTATTATAGTGATGATACCAGTATTACCCCAGGTTGAGTCATGGATATGTCCGTAGAGGTTTATGATCCATATAGAGTCATTTGATATGAGCAATAGGGCTATACAGTCAAAATACGTGAATAAAGCTTATACTCAGAGCATAATTTTGTTCTTTTGTGTTCATATTTGCGACTATTGGCTTGCAGTGCCCTGCCATCAGTCATTCTGTCAAACGAATTCCCACCTCAGCCGACCGTTTCCAGTGAGTAACCACAGATAAATAAACCGGCCTTTAGCTTCAGTATAACTGGGCTCTTTATGAACATATACCAAAAAATGACATAAAATCGTAAGTCATTGTCATATAGTATTTTATTTATTTAGGCTATTCATTTATATACATACACACTTTTTATATATGTTCCTCATGAGTACTAACTGTATATATATATATTTGTGTGTGTCTGTGTGTGTACTCATTATCTCCATAATTTCAGGATTCTTATTCCTATCAAAATCCTCCAGTTTCTTGGTTCCTCTTGTCGAAATGTTCCTTTTTTCACATCCTGAGGATTTTGCCTGTTTGCATGAGATTTGCTCTGGCGTGACTCACAAACACTTTCTACTCAGATTTTGACCATGCTGTATTCAGAGGAACCCGGAGAGCCCCAGGCCTTGAAATATGACATGCTTCCACATCACCCAACTCACATCTGCTCTCTCAACCCAAATGCATGACCAAAATGTTTTTTGTTTTTTTACCCATACTGAAGAAATCTATTTTTGTGGGACAAGCTTTAGTCCAGAATGTCACAAAAACGATTTTTTATATAACATTTAATAATAAGATATTTCCAAATGATAATGAATATTAAATTAAATGAATTTATAATGGTAAAGTGGATGTTTCAATTGGTGGATAGACAACTACTTTATTTTTAACTTTAATTTTATTTTTTCAAATCTATTATTTGTTGGTTTTGAATGTTTAATATATCAATGTAAGCAAGCATTAATTTACAGCATCAACTAGTTTGTAGACGATTGTAAAAAGCCACTCGTGATAACTGCAAAAACAATCAAGATGATCACTATGATGAAAGACTTTTTTTTTTAATTTTGGAGTAATGCAAACCGATGTATTGTAAGTAAATGCAGTAAATTTCGATTTCATGTAGAATTTAAAGTTATGGATATGACACTGATTTTGATGACAGAATGAATGACCGTAAAATAATACTCTATAAATGTTATGTGAATATAATGCAGGGATACTCTTAAAGCCATTTGAGAAGGGTAATACTACATAAAATGTGTTTGTTTGTTTTTTGTTTTTTTTACATGAAGTGTGCCGTGAAATGCATTAGTCCTCCTACATGCACTCACACAT